TTGTCTTTAGCTAAAGGTGGATTTTTCTCTGGGTCTGAGAAGGCTGGTTATCTGGTTGTTTGTGCTTTGCTTGCAGTTCAAATATTTAGACTATTGTCCAGACTTTGGTTCAAGCAGAAGATATGTATTTGTATTTTTATGTACTGTTGAGAAAGATTTCAAAAAATGTTCAAAGCATATTATGGAATAGATGCAGCTGTAAAAAGAATAAGCTAATGTAGTGAGCTAAGTGCAAAAATAAGAAAAGATATAGAAGGTATATTCTAAAAATAAGCACGTTGCAGAATGACCTGTAATAATATTGGTACATTATATGCAAGAAAATTTTGGAAATATGCATGTACTTTATTAATTGGAGATATATAATTGGAAACAGAACATTTCAACTCTTTATATATTACATTTCTCCATTTAAAAAATCTTATTCTGAAACTAGCAAGCTTGAATCAGATTCATTATGAGAAAGTGAGATAAAATTTGAGAAATGTAGGATTATCTTGTAAAAGTTATTCACAAAAAGATGAAGTGGTGGTGGTGGTGGTTTAGTCACTAAGTCATGTCCGACTCTTGCAACCCCATGGACTGTAGGCCACCAGGCTCCTCTGTCCATGAGATTCTCCAGGCAAGAATACTGGAGTGGGTTGCCATTTTCTTCTCCAGGGGATCTTCCTGATCCAGGAATCGAACCCAGGTCTCCTGCATTGCAGACATATTCTTTCCCAACTGAGCTATAAGGGAAGCCCAAAAGATGATGTAGAAAATACTTATTGATGTGAGAAGATGTTAAAATATGTTATTAGGAAGGATAAAGGTCTGGTTTACAAAAATATGTGCATTAATATGTTTGAGAAAAATATATAGAGTAAGCCATTATATTTTGACCATTATTGTGATAATTTGCTTTCTTTCTTGAAAAATCAAAAGATGAAGGAAGATATGCAATATGCATGAAGTATATAATAACAAACATTAAAATGAGGAAATATAATCCCACTTTTATATGGCACCTATGCAACTCAAGTTGAGAATGAACAAGTCTAGAAGCAAAAAAACAAAACAAAAAAATCCATCTAGAAGCCTGAGAAGGCTACAGTCTGGTTAGTATAGTTCCCACCCTTCCTGACCAAAGACTTGAGTATCTGCAGTAGTTCTGTTTCTAGTCACAAGATGGCACTTGCCAGATGTCCTAAATTTTCTTTCAGGCAACCATATTTATGAACTGGACAGACAAAGCAATGAGATATATTTTCTCTTATGAGACAATATGTAGAATGTGATTGCAGTTTGTTGAAAAATTGCACATGTATAAAATAAAAACACACCAAGACTGATACGAGAATTCAAACAGAAAGCATTAAAAAAAATAGTTAGACAGATTGGGCCTATAGAGATGCACAAGGCAATTGTTATTTCCCTTTTTTCCTGTCCCCAAAGCATACTTTTCATGAAGGAGATGATTTTAGTATCAACCTAATAATATAACTATGTCACAGAGAACATTTCAAATATCAAGAACAAGAAGGAAAGTAAATAAGGCCTTTACATCACAGTTGAGATTTTTTATCTCATTCCTGTGTTTCAGAAGAGCATGCCTGCTAAAATTTTGGTAGGGAAGCTTTACACCTCTTCCATTTAATTGGTTTACTTCCCTGTCTCCTTTTGGACAGCTTAGGTTAATGTCTGAGATGCACATGACCTGGGGAATCTGTGTGTGACACCAGTTGAGCCTCAGAAGGGCAGCACGACCACAAAACGGCCAAACAGGGAGAAGACCCTGCTGGACAAGCAGCCGGAGTGAGAGTTAAAACGACTGGATCACAGGAGCACACCCTGAATGATCCATGTGACACTGGGTAAGGTTCTTCCCATCTCATGAAATATCTCACATTAAAAACAGGTTGAGAATTTGGCTTTGTAGTAGAGTCTGAAGTCAGGCAGATTGATTCCTCCAGTTCCACTCTTCTTTCTCAGGATTACTTTGGCTATTCGAGGTTTTTTGTATTTCCATACAAATTGTGAAATTATTTGTTCTAGAGTTATAGTTTATTTTGTTTCCTGCTCTGTAGCCATAACATTTTAAATTAAAAGACACATTTTATACTAAAATTAGGTTGATAATTTGAGATACAATTCTTTTGCCCCTGTTCTGCAGCCCTAATGTTTTGTAATTAAAAGCCATCACTTCTAGTTTTGGGGAAAATATCTCATGTGTTTAACCACTATGAAGAAATAATTGAAGAGGCTATTCAGGTGTCTACCAGAGGTTGCAGCCAGGGACCTGACTACAATCCTTGACAGCTTGGCTCAGTTGTTGTCACCACATACTAGACAGCATGTTGTTGTTGTTTAGTTACTATGTTGTGTCTGACTCTTTATGACCCTGTAGACTGTAGCCCACCAGGCTCCTCTGTCCATGGGATTTTCCAGGTAAGAATACTGGAGTGGGTTGCCATTTTTTTCTCCAAGGGCTTTTCCTGACCCAGGGATTGAACCCACGTCTCCTGCACTGGCAGACAGATTCTTTTCCACTGAGCCACCAGGGAAGTACTAGATAGCGTAGTTACAAGTATTTCTTAAGACCTGCTTAAGGTCTCACAGCCTTCCTCAAATAGACTTCTGTACACTCTCTTGAATAAGGCTATTGATGCCAAACCTCATTATCTGTGTCCATGAGATCTTTGATTGCTTTGGACAGGCAAGGCAGTACTAGCAGCTTTGGAAACATTAAAGCCCAGAATTCTGTTGTGATAACCCTGTGGGATTTAAAAGGCCTGAATTACCCAGAAACACGAATAATGTCCTGCCACTTCCAAAGTCCCTCCCTCATGCATTCTTTTCTCACAGTACAACAGAAATAATAAAGATGTGATATTGGGTTTGTGTTATCATAATTCTTCTTGTTTTTCTTGCCCTCCCCTCCAAAAGATGTCCATGTCTCTGATCTCCTTTCTCTGATATTATCCTTCTGATTTTTATCTTGTCTCCATCATCATTGTCCATGTTCTTTCTGCTTAGCAGGGTAAACTTCTTATCTGATCCTTTTTTTTTTTTTGCCATATTTTAATCGAATCCAGTTGGCACCCATTGAAAACACTTTATTCCGGCTACTTTGTGGGTTTCAGAGGATAAGAAGAGGCTACAGCAGGTGAGAGCCATTTATTAGCCCTACTGCAGTAGAGTTAAGGGCCCTTCAAAAGCTGCTTTTCTAGAAAACTAGGCAGCTAGAACTGGATCAGTGTCCTGAGGAATTTTCCAGGACACTGCATATCTATTGGTTGAGTTCTTATCTATATCCTGGTGCACTAACTGAGTATATTGCAAATTCAGTTTCTCTGTGGTTAAATTAGGATTTCTTTTACCCGTTTCCATATCCTTCCTGTCTCATCTAGCTCTCACTACACACTTAGCTACTAAATTCTTTTTTTTAATTATTGTACCATTAAATGTGGTTTCATATTTAGACAACCTAGGTTATTGTCAGAGATGCTTTTGAGTTATGCATGTTTCTTAACTGTGGGATCTAGTATGGAGACATGACAAGTCAGCATAGTTATCAAGGATTTGAAAATTTTTCTCTCCACTCAGCTAGTAAAGGTCTCAAACCCACAACTGTCTGCCTGCTTCCCTGTCATAATGCCTCTGTGACAGACTTAAAGGCTAAACATTGGGTTCTGCTGAGAGAAATCCGTATCTCCTCACTAAAGAACCCTTGATGTCCTTTACTCATATTGCTTACTGGAATAATTTTGATCTAGCCTGATCCTCCTGTTATATGTCTGTGAAAGAAAGATGGCTTCTTTCTTTAGAGCCCCTGATGCACAGTTTTCTTTCTCTCTGTTTGTTAATCACAGGAAGAGCTGTGTCATACTGCAGCTCTGTTTCTCTAACCTGAATTAGTCAGAGGTGCTAAGAAACAGGGGTCATGTTTACTTGTTCATTGTGATGATGGATGGGGTTGTGAGGGCTTCACCAACTTTACCTACACTTTATACACACACACACACACATATTGTTTTTGAATTGGCAAAACATTATCTTAAGAGAACTAACCCTCAGAATGATCCATTTAGCAGCATGTAGGTTTTGTCACTTCCTGGGAAATGACACCCCTAGGTTAAAGGCAATAAAAATCTAAATTTAACTCTTAATTTCTTGAATATTTTGTGAACAAAAATGCTCAATAAAGAGAATATCGAATTGCAAACAACTAAAGCACAAGAACAAGGAGTTGCCAATTATAAATGAGGATTGGATGAAATGAGCATTTCTCTCCATAACCAATGATTATCAATTGTTGTACTGCCAGGTCCCTGTGACACAGAAAAGATATGTTGTAACTAGTCTATGGTTGAATGAAATTATAATGCAGATATAGTCAGTGTAAGAGCATAGTGCAGAAATATATTTTTTAATTTGTGTGAGAATGTGGATGTGTGTGAAAGACGGGGAGTTCATAGATAAGTGTGATAATTATTGAAAATTGTTGTGGTTCACCAGCATGTTCACCAAGAAGGACATAGGTTAAGTAACACTGGGGGTTGCGGTCATTAATTTCCCTACAATCAGAAAGTGAATGACATAATCCTTTGTTCTACTCTAGAATCCTCAAAGAGACAGGAAATAAGTGCAGAAAGCGGTGAGTACTGATCAAGAGAACATATCTTTCTGTGTGGAACTCAGGTAAAACTGGGTTTTGGGTGTCTTGTTTTGTTTTTTAAATTTACCATCTTAACCATCTTTTTAAAAGTATCTATTGAATTTGTGAAAGTTCTCCTTCTGTTTTATGTTTTTGTTTTTTGGCCACGAGAGATGTGGTATTTTAGCTACCCAACCGGGGCTCAAACCTGTGCCTGTGTTTAGTCACTCAGTCGTGTCCAACTCTTTGTGACCCCATGGACTGTAGCCTGCCAGATTCCTCTGTCCATGGGATTTCCCAGGCGAGAATACTGGAGTGGGTTGCCATTTCCTTCTCCAGGGTATCTTCCCAACCCAGGGATCAACCCAGCTCTCCTGCGCTGTGGATTCTTTACCATCTGAGCCACTAGGGAAGCCCTCAAACCTCTATCCCCTGAATTGAAAGGTGACGTCTTAATCACTGACCACCAGGGAAGTCTCTAAGACTTTTGCCTTAATTTTGTTTTGCCCTCTTCCCAGCTTTGTGACCTTGCACATGAGCAAGAGTACCCATTTTCTCACTCTTGTCAACTCTCCATTGAATCATTTCTCCCCAAAGTAAAATTGAAATCTCATTGCTGTTTACATTTGCATTTCTTTATTAGGGAAGGTGAGTATCTTTATGGATTGTTTAATTTTAATTTTTATTTTGGATATTTGAGTTTTGAGGAGCCCCATTGAACAGCATATCCCCTTTCTCCACAGAACAAATTGAACAAACTGATATAAAACAAATGAAGTTGCAGATGGAAGTCTAAACATCAGGTTTTGTACAAGGTGAAAGTAAACTAAAGGGCATTGATTATTGAGTCAAGTGGACTTTAAAACAGCAAATTTAAACAATTTTACCAAACAGCCTGGAGGTTTGCAACTATATGGGAAGGACAGAGGTCCCTGTAGTTGAACTGTGTGAGCTTGCTCACAGGGAAGTTAATATTGGGAGTGGATAAGAATTTTTCCCTCAGAACATTGTGAATTGTCTATTATGTCTCTTGCTCATTTTTTTTAACCTCACTCTTTTCCTTATTAATATGTAAGAGCTACTTTAGGGCTATTTTTTGAATAAGAACCAGTTTGTCAAATTTATTTTTGTGTTTTCAACTTGCTTTATAGTGTTTTTAAACCATAAATAGTTTTTTTTTTCAGTTTTAATATAGTCAGAGATATATTTCTCATCTCTCTCTTCATTAAGGATTTTGGTAGATGTTTGTGTTTAAAAAATGACTTGACTTGAAAAAAGCTGAAACTTTCTGAAGGATAAATGAGAGAAACTGAGTAACAGAAACATATCATGTTCCAGGGCCAGAAGAATTAACACTGTACAGTTTTAATTCTCCACAAAACAGTATATCCATTCACTGTAATCACAAGCAAGGACTTAGCAGGTCTTTTTAGTGGACCATGACCAGTTGAGTCTTAAAATCTTTTGTAAAAATGTTAATAGAAAGGGCAAGAAAATATGTAAGAGATATTTTCAACTGGGTCTTTACTATATGATAAAGGGATTTGCTGTTTCTCTTCAGGAAGTCACCTACCCTTGTGGTTTGAATGGAAATGAAAGAGACACAAGTTGCCATTTCTCTTTCGAGTCCTTTAGAAATGAACGTTTTTCTCCTTTAAGGAAATTTCAGTTAACTTGGCAATTCTCCTCCCTCTAATTGAGGGAAAGGCCCCCTCCTTTCCCCATCACAGGGAGGGGGCGGAGCATCCTCTGAGAAGCTTGGATGTGAGCTGTGCCTGGCCACTCTTGGGGGAGGGGCTGCATTTCACGAGGCTGCAGCTGACAAGAAGCTTCAAGGTAATGGCTGTCTTAAAGCTAGTTTTTTTCTGGGGATTTCTTTGGGCTTCAGTGTTACGGTGGAAAAAAATAGAGGCTGTTGCCTGGGAGAGGTGGGAATAGAGTATATTTTGGGGGAAATTCCCGTTACTGTGACAGAATCAATCCCCTGAAAATTCAGTTTCTCCGATATTTTTTAAAGTCCACAGTGTGGGAATGGGTGATCAGATTACCGCATCTAAATTAAGACTTCAGTGAGGCATGCTGTTCATGTTAATTTTTTACATGGCATTCCATGTTTCTATCTTTGGTATAGATTTTATTGAAGCGTTTATTATTCTACAAAAAATAACTGATAGGACAAATGTAACCATAAAAAGTGCTTGACATGTAAAATATAAATGTACAAGGAACATGGAACGGATTCAGATATGCTGTTGGTTGATCAACAATTTGTTTTTAAAAAACGTGTATTGGTAACTAGATTTCCATGTTAATAGCATATCTGGAGTATTCAGCTTACTGGGGATTTCAAAATATATTTTTAACCAGTTTCAGCATTTTTAGAATTGCTTTATTCCATGATCATTTTTATCATTGATAAATGATTTTTAAAAAGTAGAGCAAAATGATACTGAAACAAATTTGTACCTTTTGGTTTTAGACACATAATCATTCATAAACACACAGACATGCAGCCATAACTAACCACCCCCCCCCATCTTTTGCCGATAGTTGAAATTTTCCTGGACCTGATCAAGTGCGTAGCCTGGTTGCTGTGTTGACTACAGCCCTGTCTGTGTCCTCCTTGCAACTCATTCTTTCAGACAACAGGTATGACCATGGTCAGCAATAACCGTTTTTCTGTATCTTTAAAGTTTAATAGTGAAACAGGAAGAGGATTTGGATTGTTTCTATTAGGCATTTTAAAAATATGTGACATGGTACATCCATACAATTACAATTGAACATTATATAGCTGACAAACAGAAGTATGAGCATGTAGTGATTTGAAAAGATGTCTAAGAATTAGTATTAGGTGAAAATGAAAATTGCAGAATGGCAAACACCATATTATGTCATTTAAAGATAGAGGACTGTGTTAATACAATATGTGTAACATCAGGAAAAATAGAAGGGTACCTTCACTAAATGGGATTATTTGTATAGTTTGAGAGACAGTACAGTCCTTACTCTCTCTATTAAAAAACATTTTTTAAACAATATCAGAGAAAGAGTTTCAGGTAAAATGTTATAAATTAGGGAGAAATTACATTTGAAGTGATTCAAACAAAATCACATTGAAAATATTTATAAGGAAAATTTTTCAAACTGTGTGCTTGAGCACAGTAAAAAGCTAGTTTTAAAGTAATATGTATTCATATATATATATATATATATATAAAGATATTGAAAGATAATTCAGAAAACAATAATATTGATTGTTTTTACAGAATTATGCTTTCTTTTAAAAATCATATCTTTTCAGTTTTCAGTAAGCATGCATTTTTTTGTCAGACCATTGCAACTAAAGGCATTAGCATTCCATTTTTTGTGATGCATAACGAAACTCTAAATTTTAGTATGGTATATCCTAGAAGCCTGAGAAAACTGCTGGCTTGCCAGGATGTAAGTTCCCACCCTTTTGCTCTAAGGATCTAGTAGTAACAGGCTGCAACTCTGGTACTGCTCACAAGATGGCGCTTCTAGGATTTTCCAGATTTTCTCCAGGCAACTATTTTTTTGAAGTGAGCAAACAAAGCTGTGAAACGTATTTTATATTAGCAGACTACAAGACAGCTTGTAGAATGTGGTTTTAGTTCCACTGAAAAAATTGTACGTGTCTAGAAGACAAAGCCCCACATGAGGACTGATGTGAGAACTCAAACAAAGAAAAAAAAAAAAAAAACGAGAGAAAGAGATAGCTACACAGATTTGGCTTATAGAAAGGAATAACACAATTGTTACTTTCCTTCTTTCCTGCCCCCAAAGCATACTTTTCGTGAGGGAGATGATTTTAGTATCAACCTAATAACATACCTGTGTCACAGAGAACATTTCAAATACCAAGAACAAGAAGGAAAATAAACAAGGCCTCTACATCACAGTTGAGATTTTATATCATCCTTGTGTTTCAGAAGAGCATGCCAGCTGAAGTTTTGGTAAGGAAGCTTCTTTATGCCTTTTCCATTTAATTGGTTTGCTTCCCTGTCTCCTTTTGGACAGCTTAGGTTAATGTCTGAGATGCACATGACCTGGGGAATCTTCAGGAATCTGTGACACCAATTGAGCCCCAGAAGGGCAGCGCAACCACAGAAGTGCTGAACAGGGAGAAGGCCCTGCTGCAGACAAGCAGCTGGAGTGAGAATAAAAAACAACGGGATCATAGGGGCAACTCTGCACGATCCATGTGACATTGGGTAAGGCTCTGCCCATCTCTTGTTAAAACATAGTTAAATTGAGAATATGGAGTGCAATTTGTTTTGATTCTGTTCAGTGACCATGTTTTAAATGAAAAACCACAAATTATATTCAGTAAAGAATTAGATGTATTAAATTCCTGTAAAGAAATTATACAAATGACACAGCCCCAGTCCAGGTCATACCACCCTTGTGTCCCCCAAGGCCTGTGATGGCCATCTGAGGAGAGCTGCTGGCCAAGATTGATACCAGGTAGGATATTTCTGTGCTTTGAAGTTAAAGTAGATATCTTCTTTTTTTAAAAACAAAAAGTTATGCAAATGAGTATGATGATGTCTACTTATGGAAGACTTGCCGGTTTCATCCAGCTGTCTGACTCTCAATAAATCCTTGAAAACCACCTTATCCAGTAAATAGCCATGACAGTCATTCCAAATATCTGATTCCTAAGCACATCCTCTTAATGAGATCATTGTGCTGTTGTCTGAATGCCAGAGACACAAACCTCAGGATCTGTGTCTGACTGCCTTGGGTAGATAGGGCAGTACGATATCTTTAAAAAATTAAAAGATTACCTTAGAATAAACCTCAAGAGGTCCCAAAATTTCAAAACACCCCATAAAAGCAATGGTGTCTCTGATGCATTTCATTGTTCAACATTCCCCTTCCTGAAGCTCCTGTCATCACACACTCATTCATTCTTTATATTTAATAGCTATAATATGCCTAAATACAGGGGTCCTTATAGAGCTATTTCTCTTTTCTTATATTGTTAAATATTTTCCCCAACCACAGTATGTTTCTTTGGTGCCCGGTATTTATTCATCTTTTTGTCTGCTCTATTTTTATTTTCCACCTTCCTTCTCCTTTGACAGGGAAAGCCCCTTTGCTTATTCTCTTCCCTTTTTCTTTAAGTGAATATCGCTCATTCAGAAGTGTTTGTTTAAGCTTCCTTGCAAGTTTTCAGGAGAATATGTATAAGCACAGAAGGAGGAAACTAGTTAGTAGCCCTAAGGCAATGTGTGTGCCTGTGTGTGCTCAGGCACTCAGTTGTGTCTGACTCTTTGTGACATATGGACTGTACCCCACCAGGCTCCTCTGTCCATGGAATTTTCCAGGCAAGAATAGTGGAGCAGGTTGCCTTTTCCTTCTCCAGGGGATCTTCCCCACCCAGGGATCTAACCCTTATCTTCTGCATCTCCTGCATTGGCTGGTGAGTTCTTTAGCACTGAGCCACCTGGGACGCCCCAGACCTAAGCAATAGATACCTCTAAAATTACTGATTTTATGGTTAACCAGGCATACAGACCAATGACCTAAAGATTTTTCTAGATGATTCAGAGTTCACTGGTTGATTTCCAGTTTATATCTAGATGTACCAATCAATCACATGCACATTCAGATCATTAGTGGCTCGTTTTGAACATCTTTTCCCCTTCTTCCTTATGTCCATATCTACTTCTTGCTATGCACTTAGACTGTTAACTGATCTTTTACAAATTATTTTAACCTTGTGATCTATTTTGATATATGTTAATACCAGTGGTTTCTTTAGTGAGCTATTAAAGTTAGAACTCAGTCCCAAACCCATGCCTGAATATCTGTTTGAGAACTTCTAACATATAACAACCTTGCCATAACACTTCTCTGAGAAACTCCGAAGTTTAGAGAGTATATCTTTAACAGTCTCTCATATCTCCTCACTAGAGAACTGATAAGTAACTTTATTCAGAGTGCTGACAGGAATAAATTTGGTCCAGCCTGGATCTTTGTTTTACTATGGGTTCTCAGAGGATGATGGGGGCGAGGATCACAGTAAGAAGGGAATTCCCTTTATCTTTAAAATCCGCCAAGGCAAATCCAATGAAGGTCTTTCTCTTTGCTTGATAATCCTGTGAAGAGTGCTGCAGCCTAGTTTATCTGCTTAAATACTGAGAGAGTAATAAAGTTTATCTGCTTTGTGCTGTGATTATTACATTGTGGGGTCCTCGTCTACCTTTCTTTCATTTTATTTGTTTTAATGTTTTCCATCCCATCATCCTAATTTTTGAATTCCTACCAGCATCATCCATGAGCACTGTGTTAAGTTTTTGCATTACGCAGGAAATGCAAGATTCTCCAAACATGGCAAGTTTATATTCTTGTGATCTCTAGGTCACTGGTTGGTCTTTTTTTTTATTTTTTCCCTATCATGTTTACATACATTTGACCAGAAATTATCATGTCCCTTTGGCCCTGGCAGTGATTTTCTCTCTGGCTTGCCTTTTTCTTACCTGGAATGCTCACCCTTAGTGAGTTTTCTTCTGATGTCCTTCCCCTTTAGGTGGACTGGCATTTGACCAGTGAACATTAATAATAATAACTTAACTTTGTTTACAAACAGTTTCAACTCTTTGTGCCTGCGCCTTAGCAGTCATTCAATATTTTGAATATCCATTTAGAATCTAAAATTTCTTGCTTTACCTATGCTCATGCCCCCCCCCCATGGTATTTGGTAGTATTCCAAATGTACCATTTCTACTCTTTTACATGGACCGTATAAGCTAAAAAATATTGAAATTTGTTTATTCTATAACCATTCTGTCTCCCATATGTTATTTGGCTTCCACTTTCTCACTGGGGATGTATTCTTAACCAGACCTCTGTCTCCAAATTATAGCACTTTGGCTTCTGCTCCTTCCTTTCCTTCTACTCATATGGTTGAATGGCATGCCAGAATGTCAGTGGAGTTAAAGACTCTGCCAATAAGGATAAATTTCACAAGCTGTAGAGTGCTGATGTCCTCCAGATTCTTGACATTTGTCTTGTGTTAACTAACTTCAATGAAAGAGATACTTAGTGGAGATTTGAATTTGTGCAGAGTTACAGAACTGCATCAAAAGTCAGGTACCTGCCAACATTTTTAAAGCAAATTCAAAAATAGAAGTTAATAAAAAATTAGTTAACACATGGAAGCAACCTGAATGTCCATTGACAGAGGGATGAATAAAGATGCAGTCCCTATATACAATGGATTATTGTAAATTTCAGCCATTGAAAAGAATGCAATAATGCCATTTGCAGCAACATGGATGAACCTAGAGATTATCGTACTAAAGTAATTCAGAGAAATATCATATAATATCACTTATATGTAGAATCTTTTAAAATGATACAAGTGAACATATCTACAAATCAGAAACAGACTCACAGACTTTGAATACAAACATATGGTAAACAAAGGGCAAGGGTGGGGGAGGGGTACCTTAGGAGTTTGGAATTTACATATATACACTACTGTATATATTAATAAAATAGATAATCAACAAAGGACCTGCTGTATAGAACAGGGATCTCTACTCATTATTCTGCAATAACCTATATGGGAAGAGAATCTGAAAAAGAATGCATATATGTATATGTATGACTGAATCACTTTGCTGTACCCCTGAAACTAACACAACATTGTAAATCAACTATGTGTGCTCAGTCGTGTCCGACTCTTTGTGACCCCATGAACTGTAACCCTCCAGGCTCCCTTTTTTGTGGGATTTTCCAGGCAAGAATACTGGAGTAGGTCACCATTTCCTCCTCCAGGGGGTAAATCAGCTATACTTGAGTATAAAAATTAAAAAGATAAAGATGCTAGGCTAAGCATAACAAAAAAATTACTTAAAAAGGTTAAACAAATAGAATATTTAATATGTTCTTTATACACTACAGAGGATATTTTTACACATACCTGTGGTACTCACAACCTCGTTAGGTAATCATTGCCCAAAGTACAAACAAAATTCCTATATATATTCCCATTATGCTCACTGTAAAACATCAATTTGTTATATAGGTTATATTCTAATGGGATGCCTTTTTAAGACTCAGATTTATTAAGGTATAGTTTACATAGAGTTAAATTCAGTCTTTTTGGTATGTAATTCTATGAGTTTTGACAAACATATACAGTCATGTAATAACCAGTACAGTCAGGCTATAGAATAGTTCCATAACTTCAAAATGTTCCTTACTGCCTCACTGTAGTGAATACTCTCTCTCTATCCCAGTTCCTAGCAACTACTTGTCTGATTTCTGTCCCTATAGTTTTCATTTTCCAGAATATCATATAAATGGAATTATACAATATCTACCCTTTTGCATTATTTCTTTCACTTACCATAATGTTTCTGATAATTTACTCATGTTGTTACATGTATCAGAGGTTTCTTTCTTAAATTAGCTTACAGGTATTCTGTTATTTTACAACTTATATATTCACTCACCAATAGATTTATAGTTTTTGCTGATTATGATTAAAGTTGTATACATTCCAGAGGCCTTCCCCAGTGGCTCAGCAATAAGGACTCCGTCTGCGATGCAGGAGACATGGGTTTGATCCTTGGGTCAGGAAGATCCCCTGGAGGAGGTCATGGCAACCCACTCCAGTATTCTTGCCTGGAAAATTCCACTGACCCAGAAGCCTAGTGGGCTACAGTCCATGGGGTCCCAAAAGAATCAGACACAACTTAGCTACTAAACAACAGCAACATACATTCCAGAGCAGATCTTTGTACATAAGTTTCTTTTCTCTTAGTTGGTTTTGGTAAATGTATGTCTAAATATATTAGAAACTGCCAAACTGTTTTCTGAAGTAGTTGTGATATTTTGTATTTCCACCAGCATTGTATAAGTTCCAGTAGCTCTGCATCATTGCCAGCAGTTGATACTGTCAGATATTTTCTTTTTTTAATATTAGCTATTTTTATAAAGGTGTTAGTGGTATCTCATTGTAGATTTATGTGCATATCCTTAATTGCTAATAGTGCTGAGCATCTTTTAATGTGTTCATTTGGTATTTGTATATCTTCTTTGATGAGGATCTATTTAAATTGGGCCATTAATCTTATTGAATGATAAGAGTTTTTTATATATTCTATATACAAGTTTTTTTTTTAAATCTGATACTTGATCTGCAAGTATATTCTCCCACTCTGGATTTTCATTTTATTTTTTGAAGAGCAGAGAA